GCCCTTCATGATCCTGTCTGAGGAGAGTAATGTGTGAAGACCTTTCAAAGGTTGATTCAGATAAGCAAGAAATTCAAGATGGCCCTTTCTGGAAGGAATCAACACCACAATAAGAGGAAACTATACTAACAAACTTTCCTCAAATGAGCCTGATTTGAAAAAGGAGATATATGTGACTCCCACATGTCCAGGCTCAAAACCCACAGCCTGGACAAAGATGGCATCAATGGTGGTAGAATTTTCAAAGAATTTTTAAATGAACTCCTAAAATTGAGATTTAATCCACGCCGGGTGTCTTGGTTACTTTTTCCTCGATGCTGAGACAAAATAGTTGATAGTCAAAGTTTAAAAAGGAAAGGTTTATTTAGCTCACAGTTTGTGGAGGTTCAGTCCATAATCAGTTGGCTCCAAGGCAGAGCGGCACAGAGCTAAGGGCAACAGTTCACAGCAGCGGAAAATAGCACATGCAAAAAAAGCAAAAGGAAACACAGAGAAAAGACTTTCTATCCCTTATATTGTATATAGGTCACACCCAACTGGATGTAGTACTCATACCCACAACTCCAGATTAGACTATCAATCATTCACAACTCTAAAAGCCTCCCAGGCTGCATGAAGCTTTGGGGAGACATCCAGACCCAAATCATAACATTCTGCCTTTGCACCCCCCAAAGACTCATGTACATCTGTCTTCGCTACTTTTCTCTCATTGCCGAAAAAATACCTGATACCCAAAATGAAGGAAAGAAAGGTCAATTTAGCTCACAATTTGTGGAGGTTTCAGTCCATATTCAACTGCTCCCAGGCAAGGGTGGCATGACTGAGTGGCAGCTCTTCATGGTGGTAGCAGGTACCAAGGAGACATGAGAAAAAAAGGAAGAACACACTTCCTTTCCTCCCTTACACGTACACCAGCTACCTGCACTTGGGCAGTTGCAGCACTCACACTGCCAATCCCAGTGCCAGACAACAAACCAATTACAAACACTAGACTCAGCCTCCTTTGAAAGGCTCACTGCCCCACAATCATATGAGGTTTTGGGGGGACATCCAAATACAAATTATAATATAAACCATTCTTCACGACTATTAGTACCAGATTTCTGTGCCCAGTCCTGTTTTTCAGATACTTGTGAGAGACTGTTTCTCCTGAGTAAAATGCTGAGAAAAGCTATGAAAACAGGCTGGTGGAGCTCTCCTTTGCCAGCTTCTTCCTCTCCAAGCTGCTGAATATGAGTACAGATGTGGACATCTACCACTTGGCTTCTTTGGATCTTGAAGTTTATCAGAGCCTGGGGTTTCTCAAAAGCTACAAGGGGGATGTGTGAAAGAACTGGGGTTCAACTTCACCATGGTGAACAACAATCTGAGGGAGGATCAGGGGCCTGAACTAAAATTAGGTGGAAAAGATGTCCCTGTCACCAGTAACAACTGCATTGCATACATCCACCTGGTGGCCGACCACAGGCTGAACAAGCAGATTTTCCAACTCCGTCAGTTTCGGACAGAGTCTGGCGGGTGTCATTATCTGGAGTGGCTGTGGATATTTGATCAGCATCAAAGTCATGTTTAATTTCTGGTGCACAGGTTCTCATTAATTTGGAGGACCTAAAATCCTTTACAAACTATTCTAGAGGTGATTCTGCCCATTATCCTGTCATTCACGACTTTTGGAGAATTGTACAATACTTCACTGATGAAAAATAGCACAAGTTTCTCAATTTTTTTTTATTTTAAAGAGAATAAAACCAAGCAAAATAAAACAGAACAAAGCCAATCACAACAAACCAGTGTAAGTGACACTGGACTTCAATAGTAAATCAACAATGGTTACCCATAAAACCTCTTGCCATTTCGAAACAGCTGCAGATACCTTCAGACATAGTAAAAACCAAACAACAGAACAGAATAGAACCAATAAAAACAAAACAATGAATGTAATAAAGGACTTCAAAACAAGACAACAATAAATCCAAAATGGCTATCACAATGTATCTTGCTATCATTGAAATAGCTGCCCATGCCATCATATATATAGCAAAACAAAACAGAATAAAACCCAACCCAATGAAACAATGAAAATGATACAAGATTTCAAAACAAGATAGTAGGAAATTAACAATGGCTACCATCTTCAGGAGATCCTCCCTAGATGCCACAATGCATACCACTATCCTCTGAATAGATGATCAGATCACTGGCTCTAGATCTGCAAAGTCAGTGAAACACCAAATACCACAGGCATCAAACTGTACTTTACCTCAATACCTATCATTATTGCCTGTGTTTCTCCAGATCAGCCAGTTGCTTATGGGGTGTGGGTGGGGGGAGTTGCCTCTTCTTATTTCCCAGCCCATGTGCTCCAGACACTGAGGTCTGGCTGGGCCCCCATTGGCCCACTAATGGCACTGATTAACAGGGAGGGCTTGCTTCTTGGTGACTTCTTGTTCTCTTCCCCCACAGTCCATGAATGCTAAGTTTCTCAAGTTTGTAACAAGTTCATCTTAGCCTCCTCTCTTGTGTTTTGCATGTACAATGGAGCAGCTACCAACAGAAAGCACCAGCTGCCAACTTCTGTATAACAAGCTACTATACACCATCATGAACATGGCCCATCTTCAAGCTGAGCTATGCAGGCCAGCCTGGGTTAGATGAATCAAGCCAATCACACCAGAGGCTTCAACTGCACTCCTCAGCTATCCCAGAGATCAGCTTCTTTGCAGCCACCTGCATCTGGACATGAAGACCCAGGATTCTATACTCAGTGAAAATATTTATCAACTATGAAAGGAAATCAGGATACTATAAAATGAAGTAAAATTAAGAATTTTCCTTATTAACCCTACCCTAAATAGAAAAGCAATAATACAAGAAAGACCCTTTGAAGATATGGAAATAGAACACATTAAAACAAAAATACGTATAAAAGCAATGGATTTTTATTTTCCTCTTGAATTTTCTAAATTATGTTTGAAAGTTTAAACAGCATAACTCATTGGTAAAGCATTGGCAGCACTTCAAAGGTCATGGGTTCAATCCCCAGCACCACATAAAAAATTATAATATTGTCCAATATGGTTATAAGAATACTAAGGAAATTTTTTATTATACTATAAATGGAGCAGGGTAAAGAGATGTGAAGGTACATAAGGTCTCTATATTTGATTTCAGTTGGCAAAATGATGTAAATAGACTGATAAACTATATATGTAACAAATTATATGATACCTACAGCAAGCATGCATACATATTCAAAAACACATTAAAAGACACTATAAAGAAATAAAAATGGAATTCTAAAAACACATTGCCAATAGAAAGGAAAAAGAAAAACAATACGTAAAACAAGAACTAAGATGATAAATCAAAGTCTTAATATAGCAGTGATTACATTAAATGTAAATGCTCCAAATTCACCAGATACCAGAGAGACATGGAGGGATGGGATTAAAAACATATACTAAATCTACTAAATCCTCACTATCCTTACATTACTTAACATTTACTAATATACTGGCACAATCACTGCCTGGCATCAGGCTAATACGACCTTTAAGTGTTAGATCCCTGAAGAGGTTCAGACTGTTGTCTGCAAAGAAGTAAACAACAATTACGGTTTCATTATAATAAAAAATAGTTGCCAAGAAAGGAATATTTTGTCTTCTCCCCTCCTCCAAAATTTTTTTTTTGTTTTGTCTTTTATCGGTACCGGGGATCGAACTCACGACTGCCTGCTTACAACGCAGGCGCTTATGCTGCTGAGCTAAATCCCCAGCCCCGCCTCCTCCAACTTTTCTACATGGGAAAAACATTAACATTTGATTGGCAAGAACTTGTCATTCATTTATGTAGGTTACAGTTACATGGAATTACTAACTCAAGATATTTTCTAGTCTTTTCCTCAAGACAAATGATTCCTTTTTACCATCTGAGGTCTATAGTGAAGGTTCAGAAATTTACACTTTAACAAGTATCTCAATGGACTTGAATTCAGAGGATCTCGCTTAAAAAAACAAAACACTGGTCTGTAGCAAATTTAATTAATAATACTATGCCTACTTGGCAGCTTTTGTAATTTCCAATCACTGAATAATAATGATCCAGTTACTTTTATATGGGGAAACACCGTATTTTTATATTAAAAGGGTATCTAGTACTCAAAAAATATTGAAAGCCACCATGCTATAGTATACAGTAAAGTCCAAATTCCTTAACATGATGCACAACAAATACCTTCCATGGCCTACATTTCCAAGCACATCTCTTATACGAACTTGGTAAGATTTTTCCCCAACACTATTCTACACTTATGTACTAATATGCTCTCAACTTATATCAATGCTTCAAGGGTTTCCTAAATTCTTGGAGTTAAGAGGGTATCTTTAAGCAGTTTAACTCTTTAAACTCCATCTCTTTGCACATCAACTATTTCTTAATAACCACTTTTATTTGTATTAGTTATCAATCAATTTAAAACCAAGAAAAGGTTATATAAAATGTCCTACCAATCCCTAAGGCCTTTCAAAAGGGTGAACTTCAATTTTATTCTCCTTTGCCATTTAGATCTCCATGCAATAGTAGCATTAAAAATAGGCTAAAAACTCAAGAGCTTTCACTTTGCAGATTATGATGGAGAGCTGCTGCTACAGGTTCATTATGCAAGTACCTCAGGAATGAAAACAAAGAAAAGTTTCTGGAGTTTAGTCCTATCACCATATAAATACAATCTCAAAAGCGACTGTGATGAAAGCAGCTGATCCTTTGTCTCTACACTATGCTCAGCTCGCACAATTTTTATTATCCCCACTTCAGTCCTGCTTGAGTAAGGTAGGTAGTAACTACCACCTTCATTTAGCAGTTAATAAAATGAGCTTCAAGAAGTTGACTGACTACAGGCCCTGAAACTCCTGTTCTTGAATGACCATCTTTCAAGAGAAGGCGACATTCAGTCCCCATGCACCGGAACCACAACCCAGTGGATGCCCTCTGGCTCTGCTCACGTTCAGCAGCCGGTACCCGAAGCCCTCATGGTCCTGGTCTTTGCTCTTTCTCTGGGCCCACTCGACCCTGCTTCGGTCCAGGGCACTGCGAGCCAAAGAGGATGACATGCTCTCCCGGCTGACACGGGTGCTCTGCGAGGCCGCGAAAACGGGCAGGACACGTCTGGTGGCGAAATCAGAAGGCCTGTGGGCCTTCTGACTTCGGTCCATCCCTTCATTCCCCAAAGGGTCGGCTGAGTAGGCCACTTCCGCGCAAGGCGATGCTCCCCTGCCCTCGCGCTCTTTCCGCTACCTACAGCCCATGTGACTCCCTGCCCTCTGTGACGTCAACCACGTGACTTCCGCCTTCCGCTGTGACGCACAGCCCATGTGACTCCCCTGACCTCTGTGACGTCAACCACGTGACTTCCGCCTTCCGCTGTGACGTACAGCCCACGTGACTCCCCTGACCTCTGTGACGTCAACCACGTGACTTCTGACTTCCACTGTGACGTACAGCCCACGTGACTGCCCTACCCTCCATTACCATACCTGCTTCCTTCATAACCACAGTTTTGCCCACACCTGTTCCTTATTGTACCGCAAGCAGAGGCACAGGGTTTAGAGGGGTTGGGTGCAAGGTCTTGCCAGACCTTAACAGTCTTGTTCAGGAGAAAATAGTCATCCTGAACGTGAGTGTTCAGCAAGCGTCCTAAAGGTGGATGTTAACACTTTAATCCAGTGCCGGGTGCAACCTCTCCGTTTCTTTCAAGTTGTCCTCCACATGTTATGTCTGTAACAGCCTACTAGGACATCCTCACCTTACACTTCCGCGGGTACATAGCACAAAACAGTAGTATAACCATTGTCATCTTTCCTTCCGAATCTCTAGTATGCGCAAATGCACAGGATGTAATATTGCATGTAAAAAGTCATAAAATTTTTGACCCAACTATGTGAATCTCAGATGACTGCAATGGTTTACTTGGCGGGGGTGCCCAGCCTTCTGTTATCAAACCCTTTCACTGTCTCGGTGTTAATGCAATTTTACCACTACTATATTCACAAAGCAAACCCAGAAACTTTCAGGATTTCTTTGTTGGTCTCAATTTTAAATGCACTTTGCTACCTCAAAACCATTATTTTCCTCTTCTATATGAGGTCTAATCTATTCAAGGGTCAGCTCAAAAATCAGATTCAGTTAAGACTTTTAACCTCACATATATGAATGCCAAAGGCAAAAGTAACTGCCATCTCCAACCCATTACATGGCACACCCCTCCCTATTAGTGGACTCACGCTATTAGTTTTCAAAAGACAGTACTTTGGGGCAAGGTACTTGATCCTCACCTTTCACTTTTCAGGACGCATGATATAGTATCTCAAGACCCTAGATAGGTATTTGTTTTCATCTTGGGTGTTCCATACGTGTTGTTTAATCACTGTGCCAGTGAGACTTGCTGTGATTTCTTTGTGATTTGTGTTACACAACATAAAGGATACAATAGCATGGAGGAAATAATCTTGTTTAAAAATTAATCCATTTTCATTGACCATCTTTACCTGTGCTTCACTGTACAGAAAATTCAAAAGAATGAGAAAAAAGAGTGAACAAAACTATGAAGGAAATCAGGCAGTCCAAAAATAAAATTATCATAGAAATGTAAAACATACAGCCACTTTTCCATGCAAATACCATAAAGTCATTAATTGTATACTTTGGTGTTTATTCCAGAGAAATGAAATTAATATTCACACAACAACTTGTACACAAGTGTTTATGAGAGTTTTATTTTAAATAATGAAAGCTGGACTGAACCGAATGTCCTTCCACAGATGGATGGTAAAACAAACTCAATATAATACCTTAGAATACTACTCAGGAAGAAAAAGGCATGAATCTGGGAGGATCCCAGGGAGTTACACTAAGCAGAAAAGCAGCCAATCCCAAAAGATTATACACTGTATGATTCAATTTATTCAGTATAATGGAAAGATACCAAAAGCAGATTAATGGTTTTCAGGGGTTAGCATTTGAAGGGCAGGAAGAAGTGTGCAGGAGGGAGATGTGGGTGGTAAAGAGCAACACAGGAAAATCTTCAGGATTTTAACTGGTGGCAGATACAGACAACACGAATGATAAAATGTATGTAGAATTTAAAACACATTGACAACTGTAAGCAAAACTGGAGAAATGTAAATATGATGAATGGATGGGTGGGTTGTATCAATGTCAATATCCTGGTTCTAATATTTTACTGTAGTTTTGAAAAATGTTAATAGAACACACTGAGTGCACAAATGTTATGTCTTTTAATTGGATGAATCCACATTTATTTCAGTGAAATTTTTCATTAAAACTTTCATAAAGGAAAAATAAAAAAGTAGGGTAACTAGTAAGACGTAAGAGAGAAACCACATAAAATGTGTGAACCTTGACCGTATTGCAAGGGGCAACTGGGAAAATCTAAGCATGAACTATATGTTGAATTGTTTTCAAGTTGTCTTAATGCTTCTGTGCTTGCTTAGGCAAATGTTATTTTTAGGACATTTCTGATAAAACTCTCAGGTGAATTGTCATTGTATTAATTTTAAAAAGTTTTTAAATTTTTAAAAGATGTACAAAGAAAAACAAATGGCAGGAAAACTTTTTTCCCCACCAATATAGGTTAAACCCAGATGGGTCCTAAGACCGCGAGTGCCCCCTGGTGGCGACAGGCCCAAGGATGAGGAGGGCGTCAGGATAAGAGCCAGGATAACACTACACTACCGAGGAACCTGTGAATTCCCTCCCTCCCGCTCCGGTTCTCTTGCTATTCTCCGAAGATTACTGCTTCAAAATCACACAAGCCACTGTATCATGCTTCAAACAAAGTGACACAATAAAGCAATCAAAACAAAACAGTGAAGGTGATACAGGACTTCAAAACAGATAACAGGAAATCAACAATGGCTACCATAATGCCTCTTGTTATTTTTTAAATAGCTGCCCATGCCATCAGATATAATAAAATCAAACAAAACAGAACAGAATAAAGCCAAACCAAAAAAAACAATGAAAATGATTCGGGACTTTAAAACAAGGTTATTGGGAATTAACAATGGCTACCACTTTCAAAAGGAAATCTCCCACAGTTGCTATACTGCATATTGTTATCCTCCAAATAGGTGCTCAGGCCACTGGCTTTAGGCCTGCAAAGTCAATCACATACTAAACACCACAAGCATTAAGTGGGTTTTTTCTACCTCAGTAACTATCATCCCTGTATTTCTCCGGATAGGCTGGTGGTTTATGCTGGGATGGGGATGGGGCACTCAGCTCCTCTTGTCTCCCAGCCTGCACGCCAGCCAGCTCACAGGAAGAGGCTGGCTTCTTGTCTCTCCTCCCTGCAGCCCACAACTTCTCCCAATGATTTTAGTTTTAATTAAAAACTTAATCATGGGAGATTTTGCCCACTGAAAACACTGTGTAACACACTCACGTCCTCTCCTTCAGGGTAACAATGCACTTCCAATCTTTGCTTCCAATATCTCTTCAAAATAGGTATTTCCACACCATCCCCCTGCCACTGGCTGGTATGTGTTGTACTTTACAAGTTCTAATACATTTTCTACCACATTTCTAGAAATACTGGTGATAATTTTAGGATAGATAGGATGTGCTATACAAATTACTTTGTGCTTCAGATTAGGTATAATGCATTTGCGTTAAAACTTTGCAATGGAAATTTTTTCTTTTTGGTTGTTTTGCTTTTTTTTTTTTTTTTTTTTTTTCTTTTTCAAGACAAGGTCTCACTAGGCAGTTCAGGCTGCCCTTGAACTTGTTATATAACCCGGGCTGACCTTGAGCTCACTTTAGTCCTCCTGCCTCTGCCTCCCAAGTGCTAGGACTACAGGCATGCACCACAACAGGATCCCAGTGGAAAATTTCAATCATTTGACTAGAGGGAATGATATTACTGTAGTGAATTTGCTCATCCACATCCTCTAGGCTTGCTCAGTTTTCCATGGGTAATATCTATGATGGGAGGGCTCAGAATGCAGCTGAGTAGCAGACACACCATGCATCATACTTGCTAATCTCAAGGTTCAATCCACAGTACTGCAAAAATAAATAGATTTGTAAAGAGGATCCTGCATCTAATTTTAGTGGATATTTCTATCTTATTTTTAAAATCAACATGACAGACGAATATTGTAAAAGATAAAATCTTGAAGATATAAAGTCACTGAAAAATTTCACATATTCTCTCATTGCCTTTCTCCTCCTCTTTGAATTATATATACTGTGAATTACATCTTCCAGTGTAATTTGTCTTCTCATCTTCTTTAAGGTGTTTTGTGATGAACAACATTCTTTTTTATTAAAAAATTTTTTTTGGTCTTTTTTCCTTTTTATCGGTACCGGGGATCAAACTCACGACTGCCTGCTTGTAAGGCAGGTGCTTATGCCGCTGTGCTAAATCCCTAGCCCATGAACAACATTCTTAATCTTCATGTTGTAGGACTTTATCAGTCTATATTAATTATAATTATATAATATATAAAAATATAATTTAATTAATATAAATAATATTTCCCTTTGTCTCAGGAAATCCTGCCCCTAGCCCTAAGGGAATCCACTCTACTTTCTACTAAGAATGTTGAAGTTTCTGTCTTAAAATTGAAATTCTTGAAGGATCTTTTTAACCTTGTGCGTGAGGCAGCGTATAATTTCTCCTTGTCACAAATTGTTCCTGTATTATAAAGCCGTTCTCCTGAGGATGCTCCAATCTGAGGCCACGTCAGGTGCTCGCCTTGGACATTTTCAGACTCTGTGCCAGAAACTGAGTTGCTTGCAGGGCCAGTTTGTGGGAATTCATAGTCTGGATGCCTGATCAAGGTCAGTTCCTTTGTCCTGCTCCCCCAGGTGACAGGTTGTTTCCCATTTTGTTTTATTTTGGAAATACCATAGAGTCCTTTGGGTATTTATTGTGCTTCCTACATTTAGCAAATTCCTTAAATTTTACTTGCTAGCTCCATGCCAGCTTCCAACAGATTTTAAATGTTTTTAGCATTTTCACAGAATCTTCCAAATTAATCAATTTTGTCATTCTGTTACCTGCAGGGGTCCTTGAGTGTGACAGAGGGGGAAGTAAGGATGACACTTCACTTCAGTGACGCTCTCTGCGTGATTTAATCCCTGGGTTCTAAGCCCTCCGCACCCCACCAAAGCCAACTCTGAAGGGAACAAGATGCCCAGAAGAGCACACGCTTCCCTTATGTGTGCTCAGTCCTAGAGGAACCAGTGGAGTTGGGTGCATTGCTTCTATAATTTCTTGATGAGCAACTCCATCCTTCGTAACTTCTTGGCCTAAACTTCTATGTAATGAGAAATCGCTCAAAGCGTAGTGGCAGTACAGCATGTTTTTAATCAGCGTAATACTGTCTTTAAAATGATTATAATAAGAAAAATAATCTGTCAGGCCAAGAGCAATCATGCAGAAAAAGAACAGTTCTGAGAAGAGTTCTGAGCAGCATTCCTCCAAACCCCTAGGAAGCACACAACAGTTGTTCCGCGATGGGTGGGAGCCAGTGTGTAAATAAACAGGCATTAAGTCACACTACTCAATAATACTTAGAGAAACCAAAAATTAAAATCATGACTGACAACCTATTTACAACATAAGAATAATTTACAAATCGCATTTGCGAAGTGTTTGATTGCACATGATGTGTGTTCTGAACAATCTAGTTCTTCAGTCACTGCTTTTCTATCCATCCTCTCTTCTCACCTAAAGTTTAGTAGTATTAGTTTTAAAATATAT